AGTTTCTGAAGACTGCCGATGAAGGGGAATTTGGTGTTTTGCGTGTGTGTGTGTGTGTGTGTGTGTGTGTGTGTGTGTGTGTGTGTGTTTGTGTGTGTGTGTTTTAACCTAAAATAGCAGTGTTCTTCCAAGTGACAGTAACACTACTGAGCTGTTTGCTAGAAACCACACTAAATGTTTACATGGATATAAACTTGGTTTTATTTAAACACGTCATGAAAATTATATTAAATTAGTTCAATTACAGTAACAACTTATTTCCACATTTTTATTCCCTTCCCTTCTGTTAAAAACTACAATTTAGCAGCAATTTTGAGAGAATTCTGCAGGTCATAGTTAAAGTTTTGAGGAATAAATGCAGTTCAGGGACTTTAGGCTATGCCATAAAAAACTGATAGGCTAAAAAATAATGGCAGCATTTCTCTGTCTGTAATTGGTTTCAACAATAGACCTGTTAGCCAATTAGTTAGTTAGTTAATGATATTACTGGGATGGAAGAACACAAGGACATCCAGGGATGTAGGCTAGACTGGAAGGAGTCAATTATCTACACCACTACTTATCTACACCTCTGCTAAGGAAACAATCTGGAATCACCAGAGGAATGTATATTCATGCCTATAAATATAGAATGAATTTTCCTTCTGCATATTTTTGGGAGAAAGTTCTAGGAAGATTTGGAGATATCTAAACTATTGGGGGAGGGGAAAGAGCTAAAATCCTGCTTACATTTTATTTGGGTGCTGCCAAGGAAGATGGGTGTGGCCATTTTATTTATTTGGGGCGCCCCTTCCCAGCTTTTCAAGGCAAAACATCCCTTGTAAAATGGCCTGCATTCTCAAAACAACCTCATCAAGGGTAGCAACTAAGTCGTTCCAAAAAATATCTACCTCTTGACTGGAAATTGAGGCATAGCAACTGGACTTCTTTCCTTTTGGGGTTTGAAAGGTTCCGTTGCTTTTCCAAATAGCTTCTTCAGTCTGAGCAAGTTGGGTAGAGCAGGGGTCTCCAACCTTAGTAACTTTAAGACCTGTGGGAGTTGAAGTCTACAAGTCTTAAAGTTCCCAAGGTTGGAGACCCCCTGGGTTAGAGGAGGCACATCTATGTTAGTTGGTTGGTTAGAGGATTCCCTCTAACCAATTTGCTTAGACTGAAAAAGCTACTTGGATAAGCAGTGAAACGTTACAACCAGAAGGGAAAGTAGTCCAGTTGACATGACTCAACTTCCAGACAACGGAGAATTTCAGGACTGAGAATTTCATTGACATGTATCTCTTGAGTTTCTTCCAGATCTATGATTTAAGACGAAGTCCAGGAGATGAGAAGAACGTGGCCCTGCTTGAGTAAAAGAAGGAAGAAAGGTCTGGATTTGCCTTTTCTTTGAAATTGGCCAAGCCGTGTTCCCGTTAAGCAACAATTGGGAAAACAGCATCAGTAGTGACACCGCAGTTGTTGTCTTTCATGGACATGAGGATGTAACCATCATTGCCCCAGTAGGTGGACCAAGAGTTCTTGATGAGCCAGTAAAGCTCTCCTTGAAGGACACCATAACCGACAGCCAGGACCGCATGATCTAGCTCACCCCTCTTGTTTTCTAAAAAAAAAAGATGGAAATAAGAAAAGTCAACCCAGAACAAAATGATGTTTTTTTTAAATATGTGTGATTAGGCAAAACAATGCACCAGCATAATTGAGGCTAAAATACCCAGGCTGGGACTCTTAAATCCTGAATTTACAGAACTTGTGGACATTAAATGGACCTGGTTATTACTGCAGTTATGAAAATGCCGATTGTAGGCTTCACAACCGCAGTTATCAACAATGCAATTTCTCTGCTTCTCTCTATCTTCATTGCTGTGCCATGATTCAGAGTATTATCTTTTAGGGATGTGAAATACAATTAACCAATTGAGAATTCGGGAAACCTCAGTGTTATAACCAATGGCATCAAATAACGTCCATCAGCATTCTTTCTGCAATCGAAAATTTGCAAACACACCCAAAATGTCTACATACCCTCTCTCCCCTCCCCCCCAAAACCAACATGCTTCTAAAAGTTTTATATAAACAATCATGAATGCTTTTTTTTACATTGGGAAATTTTACATTGAAATTATCTTGGAAGGAAGGAAGGAAGGAAAGAAAGAAAAAGGGGGATGGAGGGAAGAAAGGAGGAAGGAAAGAAAAAGGGGGAGGGAGAGAGGAAGGAAGGAAGGAAGGAAGGAAGGAAGGAAGGAAGGAAGGAAGGTTTTCTTCCTTCAGAGTGGAAGCTAACTTAGCCGTAGAAAAAGGAAGGATCTGGCTGAAATATGACACAAGTAGATTTCTCCTAAGGGCAGAATTTGGGCCCAGTTCCTGCTAAATATGAACTATTCTTGGAATGTAATTTCAAGAATGCATCTTGATTTACCAGTTCCACATTCATGTGGTAAGCCATGAGTACTTCCACACAGCATTATGTTTGCTCCATCCATGTATTTAAGTCAACTATGTCATTATGTCATTTTTGGCTTGCTAAACCTGCTATCATCTATAATAAAAGTACATTTAAAAAAACGCAGAAGAAAATTGGCTCAGAAGCTTAAGGAAAGAGACATGGTGGAGATCAGGACGGATACCCCATGGAGCAGGCAGGGGCTCGGAAACTTACTGCATTTGGGCTCGTAGTAGACCCCATTAGAATAGAAAGAGAACGTCCGGTGGGAGGCATCAATGCTGACTGAGACAGGTCCGTGCTTGTAAATGGCGGCCTTCAGAGCAGTGGTGTTCCCAGAGGTAACATTGACGTAACCTGAGAGCTTGCTCACGAGGTGAGTCTCGTTGCTGTGGCAGTAGCCATTCTGGTAGGAAGAGAACACCTCATCGTTAAGATTCCATTGGCTGTAGCATCCATCTCCTTGACACAGGAACTTCGCAATGAACTAGATCCGGGGTGTCAAACTCGATTTCATTGAGGGATGCATCAGGGTTGTGTTTGACTTTGGGGGAGGCCAGGGCGGGCGTGGCCAGCTTGACGTCACTTGTATCGGGGGTGCCTGTGGCGGCCCAAGTGCTCTGCCAGCGAAAACAGGCTCCCGAGCTCTGTTTTTGGCTGTGACGGCTTCCTGCAACACTCTGCCAATGAAAATGGAGCTGGGGAGGGCCGCTTGGTGCTCTCCGGAGCTCTGTTTTCACTGGCGGAGGCACCGCGGACCAGTCCTGCACTGTTTCCAGGACAGCCCTGTGGGACAGATCCAAGCACCCGGTGGGCCAGATCCAGCCCTGGGCCTTGAGTTTGACTCTCCTGCTCTATAGGAATACAGTGGTCCTCAGATTACAACTGTTCATTTAGTGACCATTCCAAGTTACAACAGCACTGAGAAAAGTGACTTATGACTGTTTTTCACAGTTATGACTTTTGGAGCAACCCCATGATCATGTGATCAACATTCCGATACTTGGCAACTGGTTCATACTTATGACCGCCGCCATGTCCCAAGGGTCATGTGATCTGCTTTTGTGACCTTGTGACCAGCAAAATCAGTGGGGGAGGCAGATTCAGTTAGCGGCTTTGTTACTACCTTTACAGCAGCTGTGACTCCCTTAACAACTGGGGCAAGAAAAGTTGTAAAATGGAGCAAAACTCAAGTAACAGTTGTCTCATTTACTTAGCAACAGAAATGTTGGGATCAGTTATGGATTTAAGCTGGGGACTAAGTTGTAAATAAATGCATAAAGTTGCATTGACAAAAGTGATACGGAAAAATTAAATCCGTGCGTATCTATGCATACACAGATACATAAGAGGATATATGCATGTGAGAATTAAATGCAATCAGGTGACAGCATGAATTTCAAATCTGGGTTATAAATCCCTTTTATGTGGGTCCATCACTTAGAACAGTCAGCATGCAACTGGTTATAAGTTGAGGACCATCTGCTAAACAACTAATTCTCACAACACTGTCAACCTATCTAGAAAGGCAGTATTACTATCATTATTCTCATCTTCCCGATTTCCCATTTCCTTATCTTCTTATGACTATAACTTTGTGGCTAGTATCTTATGATTTATAGTGTTTACTTAGTATCCTAGTTTGATTTATGTTGATTGCTTATTTAGTATCCATGAGCATCACTAAGTGTTGTATCTAATGTTTTATGATGAATGTATTTTCACAATGACTATGCTAATGATCTATCACTATTGTTGAATATACATGGTCACTTAGCCATTAAAGAACTCCATCCCATTCCATCCCACCCCACCCCACCCATGTAGTCTAGTCTAATCTAGTCTTTTTCTATATTCTATTCTATTCTATTCTGTTCTGTTCTATTCTATTTTATTCTACTCTATTCTACTCTATTCTATTCTATTCTATTCTACTCTATTCTACTCTATTCTACTCTACTGCTATGCTATGCTATCTTCTCTTCTCTTCTCCGAGGTGGCGCAGTGGTTAGAGTGCAGTACTGCAGGCCACTTCAGCTGACTGTTAGCTGCAGT